GTGGGATGGTCTGTATGTCAAACTGCTCTGATTGGTCAATAAATAAAACACTGATTGGCCAGTGGCCAGGCAGGAAGTATAGGCAGGACTAACAGAGAGGAGAATTGAGATAACAGGAAGGCGGAGGGAGACACTGCCAGCTGCCGCCATGACAAGCAGCATGTGAAGATGCCGGTAAGCCACGAGCCACGTAGCAAGGTATAGATTTATAGAAATGAATTAATTTAAAATATAAGAACAGTTAGCAAGAAGCCTGGCATAGCCATATGTGGTGGTATTGTGTTCCCCAAAATATTGTGTACCTTAATAAACTTATCTGGGGTCAGAGAACAGAAAAGCCACAAGATACTTAGGCTAGAAAATGTTAGCACACGCCTTTAATCCTAGCATTCCAGAGACAGAAATCCCTCTGGATCTCTGTGAGTTCAAGGCCACATTGGAAACAGCCAGGCATGGTGACTCACGCCTTTAATCCCAGAAAGCAGCCTTTAATCCCAGGGAGTGGTGGTAGAAAGCAGAAAGGTTTATAAGGCGTGAGGACCAGAAACTGGAAGCATTTGGCTGGTTAAGCATTTGGCCTGGTTAAGCATTTTGGCTGGTTAAGCATTCAGGCTTCTAGCAGCAGTTTAGCTGAGAGCCATTGGGATGAGGACACAGAAGCTTCCAGTCTGAGGAAACAAGACCAGCTGAGAAGTTGGCCAGGTGAGGTTAGCTGTGGCTTGTTCTGTCTCTCTGACCTTCCAGCATATACCCCAATAACTGGCCTCGGGTTTGATTTTATTAATAAGAACTTTTAAGATTCATGCTACATCTGGCGCCCAACGTGGGGCCGCCATACAGTTTGTAAGCAATATAAGTCTCTGTGTTTATTTGGTTGGGTCTGAGCAGCTGTGGGACTGGCGGGTGACAGAGATTTGTCCTGACTGTGGGCCAGGCAGGAAAACTCTAGCTACAAACTTGTGTGTATATGCACATACAATAGAGACACAAAGCATTTGAGGACCACTCTAAGGGAAGAAAAGCCAGTGAAGCCAGTGAAAGACATTGTAAAAACAGAAGAGTTGTAAGTGGTCAGGAATTAAGGGAAGTGTCATACCACAGAAGACTGGCAGTGAGGAGAGCTGAAGGGTATTCTGTAGATCGGCATTAGTGATCATAGCTCATTCAAGTGAATGAAGATGGTCAATTTATAGAAACTTGGAAGAAGCTTCTAGATTTTTGACAACTCAGCTTCACACTGGCTACACAAGAAGGATCAGGTTAGTCATTTGGTCTGTTTCTTCCCAGCCTCCTACTGATGTCTGCTGACAGCACTGAAGACTTTTTTTTTTTTTTGGTTTTTCCAGACAGGGTTTCTCTGTGTAGCTTTGCTCCTTTCCTGGAACTCACTTTGTAGACCAGACTGGCCTCAAACTCACAGAGCTCTGCATGCCTTTGCCTCCCGAGTGCTGGGATTAAAGGCGTGCGCCACCACTGCCCAGTAGCACTGAAAATTTAAAGAGACATTGGTGTCGCACACACACCTGCACATTCCTCTAAAAAAAGAATGTGAGCAGCTAGCTTGCAACAACAGTGCAAAATGAAATGCAAGGTCATTTAATTCACAGAGCCCTATTTAATTTAGCTCCATGAATCATTAATTTCTTACCTCTATTGACAACAATAATAATCAGATGATACATCCAGTGTTAAAAGTCAGAGTAAAGCTCTGAATATTAGAAGAATTTATCTAAAACTCTTTTTTTTTTTTTTTTTTGAGACAGGATTTCTCTGTGTAGTCCTAGCTGTCCTAGATATCTCTGTAGCCCAGGCTGGCCTCGAACCAACAGAGATCCACCTGTCTCTGCCTCCTGAGTGCTGGGATTAAAGGCATGCACCACCACTGCCAGTCTAAAACTCTTTATCAAATACCTTATTTAATTGTAGACTAAGCATTTTATAATGGTTTGTATGTTAGCTTCTAAAATGTGTGTCATTAGGAATAGGGTGATCATAAGAAACAAATTAACCTTATTTTGTAAAAGAAACTGTTTTATAGCTGATTCTTAACATTTTTTCTGTTTGGTGTGGGGGAAGGAGTAGTGCTGCCATGTCATCTATGAGAAGGTGAAAGGATAACTTTTGGGAGTTGATGCTCTTCTTCTACCTTGTGGATCTTGCAGATCAAACTTGGGTCATCAGCCTTGGCAAGAGCCTCCTTTACCTCCTAAACCATCTTGCCAGCCCAGTGGCTGATTTTTTAGACTGGAATGATAAATGTTCTGAGTTCTTTTGAGGAAATTAGTGTTTAAAAATATGTATATAGTAACATTGTTCGTTGTTCTAAATGTGAGAAATGTTTATCATTTACTGACAAACCCTGTTTAGAGATTTTCTTAGTGATACTAGAAAACCAATCACTTTTATCTCAGTTGTTATTTCTTCTTCTAATAACCCCAACACAGGGCACAGAACATTCATCTTTAAAACCCTGTTTTGTACAACAGCTCTTACGTCCAGCCCATTATGCAGCATGAGAGGCAACACTCTGGGTCCCAAAGGTTTTAATATTTCACCGCATAAGTGGGTCACTGATCAATCAGGGCTGCAAGACAAGGACTCCGGAGCCTTGTTTTTCCTGACAGCCCCAAGCAGAGGCAGAAGTGGGGTTTATAAGTGTAAAATTCACAAACATTTATTGCCAAGTTACAGTTACAATTTTCCCCAATCAGAAATCAAAGATTGGGGACTTTCCTTGTGTGTTCCATCTTTGTCAACTAGCATACAATGCAAGCCTTTTGCCTGCTCCCTTCACAATGAAAATATAAATACAACTTTTATCATCATCATCATTCTGTATGTCTGTGACATATGTGTGGGTATTTATGACATGGAGCTCTTGTGGAAGTCAGAAAGCGACCTGTGGAATCCATTCTCTCCTTCCATTTTTTTGGGGGGGTTTGGGGATCCGGTTTGGTTTTTTGAGACAAGTGTGTTTCTCTGTATAACAGCCTGCCTCTCCTGGAACTCACTCTGTAGACTGTAGGTTGGCCTCAAACTCAAAAGATTTACCTTCTTTGCCTCCTGAGTGCTGGAATTAAAGATGTGTACCACCACCACCTGGCTTTCCTTCCGTCTTTATATAGGTTCCAGAGATTGGGCTCAGGCTTGAAACAGCTAACATTTTATCCACTGAGCCATCTCAGCAGCCCACAACTTCTTTATTTAAGCAACAAAACAAATATTACACGAAAATAGTCTGACATAAAAAAAAATTACTAAAATATTAAATGGTTAGGCTATGGGATTGGTTTTTTTTTTCTTAGTGAGGATGAGTCTTCAGAAACATTTATGAATGTGTTTCTTCATTTTGTGGGGGGGGGGCGGGATCTTGTTGCTTGTTTATGCATATATACAGTACAGAGTCTCCCTTTGTGTAGCTTAGAATGGTCTCAAACTCATGACCCTCCCCCCCTGCTTAGACCTTTTGCTTAGGTGCTATGTGTGTGTGGCTTAGTTGTGTTTTTTTATAGCTAAGTATTTGAAATTGTATCTTTCAGTTCTGAAATCTCTTGAATTTGTAGATTTTCTCTATTTCAACTGCTTATAGCCTTTCCTTTATTTTTTTTTACTTTCTTCCTCCTCTCCCCCTTTGGCAGAATTTATCTTTTTCTTAGAGCATTTTATTAAAGTACAACTAACTGATACAACCCAGGACTAGCTAGAAACATTCTATTTCTGCCTTCTTGTGTAGACTCCCAAGTTCATTTGTCACATTGCCTGCATTCCAAATTACAGTAGGCAGAGTTCTGCCATTCCACCAATGGCCTCATTTCCAGCTGTTGGTGATAGTTACCTGTAGCTAGAGTTTTCCTGCCTGGCCTACAGTCAGGACAAATCTCTGACACCCGCCAGTCCCACAGCCATTCAAACCCAACCAAGTAAACATAGAGACTTATATTGGTTACAAACTGTATGGCCGTGGCAGGCTTCTTGCTAACTGTTCTTTCAGCTTAAATTAATCCATTTCTATTAATCTATACCTTGCCACATGGCTCGTGGCTTACCGGCATCTTCACATGCGGCTTGTCATGGTGGCGGCTGGCAGTGTCTCTCTCACCCAGCTTCCTGTTCTCTCAGTTCTCCTCTCTGTTAGTCCCGCCTATACTTCCTGCCTGGCCACTGACCAATCAGTGATTTATTCGTTGACCAATCAGCAACACATTTGACATACAGACCATCCCACAGCAGTTACCTGTTCCTCAGCCCAGTGCTGGGGTCCCCTCACAACAGCCTGCTCTCAACACCAGTTTTTACACTCTTTTCTTACATACTGTTGCTGTAACAAATGTCCCCAAATTTTCATGCCTTACTACAATGGGAATTTATTTCTAACTCCCAGGTTACCTGTGAGTTGTCTGCAGCTCTCTGAATCCATTAAATATCTCTTCTCTGTGTTGCAAGCTATAGAGTAGTCAGTTTTAGATCAGATGGTAAAGTGAAAATGGAATAACTACAATTATATTCTTTGCCCCAAACAAGATAATATGATTAGGCCCAATGTTCATACAGTAGGGAGTATTTATTTCTCCAAAGCAGATACCACAGGTCAGCAGACTTAAGGAAATGTATTTTTCTTCTAAGAAGTAGAATAGCACCAACTATACACCCACTTCGAGTTATGGCTGTATTTCCTAAAGCAGTGTTTCCAGATTGCTGCTGTCTTAGCTAAACATAAACACTGGAAATCAGCAGTACCCGAGTAAGTATATCACCTGCCAGTGAAGATACAATTGTGTCCAATGGGAGAAGTGTGTGCAGAGGACACTAAGATGAACTGTAACTTAGTACAAGACTAGGAAAACATGTGTTCTGGTCCCTAGAATTATTTTTGCTTCAAAAAATTGGAACTTGGCTTAACAGAGAAAACCTGAGTGTAAGTACTTTAATTGATACAGTTTATATCATCACAAGACACAATTTCCAAAAATTTAAAGTGAACACACACTTTATTTTTACAGAGATTTGCCGCAGTATGGACAGAAGCAGTGGCAGTCCTACTTTGGAAGAACTTTTGATGTTTACACAAAACTCTGGAAATTCCAGCAACAGCATCGGTAAAGAGTTTCATAGCTAAAGCGAGTAAAGGTGCATTGTATAATTATATATTAGCTATAGTTCTGACCATGAACAAATCTAGCGTTTTGTTTTGTTCTTTATTTTTGGTTTACATAGAATATGTGTGTGTGTGTGTGTGTGTGTGTGTGTGTGTGTGTGTGTGTGTGTGTAGGTCAGAGGATTATTTGCTAGAATCAGATCTTGCCTTCCACTGTGTGGGTTCAGCAGATTGACTCATCTTGCCAGCTGAGTCTTGGAGCTTTTAAAATAACATATTTCAGTGCTTCTTGACCTTTTGTTTAAGATCAAGTGTAGAGTAATATATCTTTATGTCCCAAATGAAAAAATTTTTTTTCTGTTTAAGATTTTTAATGTGTTCTCTGATTTTTAATGACCATGTTGTATGGAAGGGTCTACTCCTGCTTGTACCTGGGAAGATGATCTGTGGTTTCATTCTAAAACACATTCTGAAATGTGGGTGGTTAGCTGTCCATACTGTTTGGGAAGAAAGTGTTACATCTTTTCTTTTTTTGAGATGGGATCTTACTATGTAGCCCTGGCTGGCCTGGAACTCTGTAGACCAGCCTAGTCTCAAGCTGGTCTCACTGAGATCCATCTGCCTCTGTCTCCCAAGTGCTACTTTTAAAGATGTGCTCCCCCAGGCCTGGTGAAAGTATAGATAACTCAGACTACCTTGTTTTGTCTTCTTTCTTTCTTTCTTTCTTCCTTTCTTTCTTTCTTTCTTTCTTTCTTTCTTTCTTTCTTTCTTTCTTTCTTTTTTCTTTTGATATTGGGTCTCACTTCATTATCCAGGTTGGCCTAGAAACCCACTGAGAACTCAGGGTTGGCCTGAAACTCATATCAGTCCTCAACCACTTCACAACTAACTTTTGCTTTAGCCTACTGAGTAGTGGGATTACAAATGTGTACCATTGCAACAGATTTTCAGTAGACTTTTTTTTCCCCAAGATAGGGTTTCTCTGTGTAGCCCTGGCTGTCCTGGGACTCTATGTAGACCTGGCTGGCTGAAACTCACAGAGGTCTGCCTGCCTCTGCCTCCCAGTGCTAGGATTAAAGGTGTGTGCCACCACGCCTGGCTTCAGTAGACATTTAATAATTTTTTTTTTAGCTGGGTGTGACCTGGCTTCAGTAGACATTTAATAAATATTTTTTTAGCTGGGTGTGATGGTGCACACCTATAATTCTAGTACTTAGGAGGTGGAAATAGGATCAAGAGTTCATGGTCATCCTCAGCTACACAGATAGGCCAGTCTTGGCTACATGAAATCGTGTCCCCAAAAACAATTGAGGCTGGAGAGATGACTTAGTAGGTAAAGTGTTTGTCTTACAAGTGTGACACTGTAATCGCAGCAATCATGTGGTGAGATGGGAAGCAAAGACAGAAGAATCCCCAGCTAGCCTTCGTGTACAGTGGTGACCAAGAAGGTGAGAGGCTATCATCTGACTGCCACACTTGAGCTGTGGCATACACACCTGCACTCACACAATCACTTGCTCATGCACAAATATGTATGCACAGATTGTATATACATATGCACACAAAGACACAACACAAATCAATGAACATTTTTTAATGTAGCTGAATGATTATGTTGAAATCTTATAATTCATAAGCTGTGCAAATTGGATGATATTTTATCATTGAATTTACAGAACTGGTTCTTTTTGAAATTTTTATTTTGTTATTTCTATTTTTTGTCTCCTATACAGACAAGTCTTGGATAATCGGTATGGCTTGAAGCGGTGGCAAATAGGGGAAATTGCTTCCAAGATTGGGCAGCTGTATTACCACTATTAGTAAGTGAATTATGCATGGACAGAAGAAAGTGTTTCTTTGGCTAAAACACAATATGTAGGAGAGAGGACAGTAAGTTATGTACGGAATTTTGTTGAGGCCAAATGAATCAAGAGGCACCATGCAATGACCTTGTATAGTTCAAGCAGTGTTGTTTGTGTCAGGTGTTCTCTTCAGTAACTAATTTGGTCAGACTTGGAGAATTTGATCTTGGGTTTTTAATGATGAATACTAAATAGATGTATTATTCTTAGAACTTTTTTAAGTCTTGATGGTGTGAAGAGACATATAGCATGTATGTTTGAATGTTCACAGAATTCTTTAAACACTCATCCTAGTTGGCTATGTTTGAAAGGTTCTATGAGGTAAATTGACAGTTGTTTGCATCCTTAGAATAGTAACATCTGTGTAGTCCTACCTTTGAGGAAGGAAAGAAGAGATCTCCTTTTACAAATGTAAATCTCAACACAAAGTAAAATCAGTAACAAAAGACTTGGGTCTTTTAGAATTTAAAAGTTTTTCAACACAAAGTAACATCAGTAACAAAAGACTTGGGTCTTTTAGAACTTAAAAGTTTTTTTAAAAAAAAAGCTAGGGACACACCTTTAATCTCAGGTAGGAGATCTCTGTGAGCTGGAGGCCTAGCCTAGTCTACAGAGTGAGTTCCAAGATAGCCAGAACTACACAGAGAAACCCTGTCTATAAAACAAAACAAAAAGATAAGAGAAACCCTGTCTATAAAACAAAACAAAAAGATAAGAAAAGCCCTCATTTTCCTAATGTTGACATGGCACTCAGAGTGCCCACCACTAAAATCCCTCTTTGCTAGAACAAGATCTTAAAATCCCTTAAAATCTCGTTATAGTGCTGAGAATAAGTGACTGTTGGAGTGTTCATCCTTGGAGAAGACACGTATGCCATCCCTCCAAGACTCAGGGAACAGGAATTATGGAAGAGGGGACAGAAAGATAGTACCAGTCTGTAGATAGGGAGAGGGGCTGGGACATGCCATCTTCTGGACAAGACACAGCCATTGTAATCATGAACCCTCAACACCTACAGATGTCTACACTGGATCTGCACTTAAAGGGCCCGTTAGGAGCCCGACCTTGATGGAAAAGTCAGGGAGCTCTACTCAATACTGAGCCATTTCCCACTGATAGTCGATCATTACTACAGTTATGTACTTACTGGTACCCTCACCAGGCTCCAAGAGACAGTCCCTATCTAATGGTTGCATAAATGGCCCTGGTTAAACTAAATGGGTCACACAACAAAACCATGTCATGAATCTGGGAAAAAGACAGGAAGAAATAAGACTTAATGAGAATAGTAAGGTGAGAGAGAGGAAAGAGTAACCAGAATTGTTGTTTATTTTAATCTTTACTCTTTGGGGGCCTGCCACCCATCTCCCAAATAAATACACACAGAGGCTTATTATTACTTATGAATGCCCGGCTTTAGCTTGGCTTATTTCTTGCCAGCTTTTCTTAACTTAAATTATCCCATCTACCTTTTGCCTCTGGGCTTTTACCTTTCTTTATTTCTGTATATCTTTTCTTTTCTTCTTATTCCATGTCTGGCTGTGTGGTGAGTGGCTGACCTCTTCATTTCTCACTCTTTGATCTCCCTCTCCCCAAATTTCTCCTCCTATTTTTTTCTCTCTGCCTGCCAGCCCCACCTATCCTTCCCTCCTGCCTTGCTATTGACTGTTCAACTCTTTATTAAACCAATCAGGTATTTTAGACAGGCACAGTAACACAGCTTCACAGAGTTAAACAAATACAACATAAAAGAATGCAACACATCTTTGCATCATTAAACAAATACAACACACATGTAAAATTGTCAAGGCATTAAGTAAATTTTTTAAAGTAAATTATTTTTGAAAGTTTCTTATTAAATTAGACATGCTAAACAGACTACATAGCTCATTATCATCCCTCAAAGAGAAGTCTGGGTTAGTAAGGAGGGAAAAGCTAAAGAAATGGGCCAAAATTCAAGTAATGGCTGTTTAGGGAGAAGTTATAGAAGGTCTAGACCTGGGAGCAGATATACTCAAAGAGAATGCTGTCCTTTTGTAGAATGAGAATGACATGTGCTTTGGTTGGCTTCCAAAAAGCTTAGGAGCAGGAAATATTTTATTGTTGCTATTGTTAACTACACAATTGAAAGACAATATTAGTAATACTTTGTTGACTCAGAGTTAGGACATCCGCATCCTCCTGTGCAGAGTAGGACAATCTGGAACAAGTGTGTCTCATGAGGAATACATCCAGTTTGGGTCATATTTAAATTTTTTTCTTATAGTTTACGAACATCTGAGACCAGCTATCTGAATGAGGCTTTCTCTTTCTACTCTGCGATCAGACAGAGATCATACTACTCTCAAGTTAATAAAGAGGACAGGTATGTGTCAGCTGTGCTTTCAGAAAGGTGACAAGACATTCAGCATTTTAGTCCATGTGGAAAATGGACTAAAAACTACTTTTCCTTTTGTTACTCTGTGTATATGTGTCCATGTGCACATGTGAAGGTAAGAGGACAACTTGTAGGAGGAATCATTCTCTACTTCAACCACAGGCCCAGCACAGGCCTCTGGGTAACTGCCTTTATCCACTGAGCCATCTTGTCAGTGAGTCTATTTCTTTATGACAGATATAAGTTGTACAGGTTTCATAGGGAAGAAAGGACTCTAAAGATAGGCTTAACTAATGTCTTTGTTATTTCTAGCCCATGTAGTCTTTACTCATATGTCTTCAAAAGCCTATTGACAACTGTTACATTCGACCAGAGAAAAGACTGCTAGTTTTCTTTGAATTTTCTTTTTTAAACCCACTGCTATGAAGTGTGACAAATGTCATTAGTCCCAGCCCTTGGGAGGCAGAGGCAGGTGGAGCTCTGTGTGTTGTAGGTTAGTAGGTCTACATAGTGAAACTGTCTCAAAAAAGTCCCAAAATACAAAAGCACAATACTGTTTGGTCTACCTTGCCGAATTGACAACCACTATTTGCTTCATGGAGTCTTATAGAATTCATGGATTCCCAGAAGTCTGTTGAATACTTGCCATACACATGAGACCTTGACAAGTGCTTGGGAAAAGGCAGGGCAAGGTGTGTGTGAGGTACTATCTGAAGATGGTATTCTAATGAGGTTGTAGGCACTGGGACAAGGCTGACTGGCAGCAGTCAGATGAGGGTGCAGCTAGAGAAGAAATGGGATCTGCTGCAGGGTTTTATTGCATTTAAAGATTTAATTCTTCCCACCCACATGCTTGCTCACAACTATGCCTAACTCCAGTTTCAGGGGTTCTAATGCCCTCTTCTTATTTTTTCATGTACTAGGCATATACATGGTACACAGACATACATATAAGAAAAAAACTCATAAACATAAAGTAAGTTTTGTTTTATTTTTTCCAGACATGGTTTCACTACACAGCGCTGGCTTCCCTAGAACTCTCTCTGTAGACCAGGCTGGCCTCAGACTCATAGAAGTCTGCCTGCCTCTGCCTCCAGAGTGCTGGATTAAAGGCATATACTACCATGTCCAGCATAAAATAAATTCAACGTTCATTGTATATGGCATATGTACATCAGACACAAGAAGACAGTATCATCTTAGTGGAAAGTAGATCACAAGTGAAGAAAACTTCACTATATGCTATTTACAAAAGATGTGCTTAAATAAGAAGACAGTCTAAATAGACATTCATATAAACAGAATGTACTGAAAAGGCTTGTATTAATAAAAAGGTTGTATTAATGTCAGAAAAAAATGGGGTTTCAAAACAAAAACAGAATTTTCTTCCTTTAGTCCTAAACGTTTACTCCCTTCTTTAAGAAGACCTTTTCCAACCAAGATCCAACCCTGTGAGCTTATGTCATTATTTTTCTTGTTACTGTGCAGTTATAGTTAATCATGGCAGGGAAAACCTGGTGGTGGAAACTGCTTGAATATGGATGGTACAACAGGACTGGGAGGCAATTTGTTACTTTGAGTTGACAGGCAAGGAGTAGAGGCCAGAGACAGAAGTGAGGCCTATCCAGTGACCCTCAAGACCTACTCACAGCCCCCAACAACCTACTTCCTAGAGCCTTCCAAACCCACCAAGTATTCAATAATAGGAGCTAGTGGGATCGTGTCAGATTAAAATCAGAGTAGGACTCATCTTTCATTTATTTATTTGTTTGTTTGTTTTATTTATTTTTGGTTTTTCGAGACAGGGTTTTTCTGTGTAGTTTTGTGCCTTTCCTAGATCTCACTCTGTAGACCAGGCTGGCCTCGAACTCACAAAGATCCGCCTGCCTCTGCCTCCCAAGTGCTGGGATTAAAGGCGTGCACCACCACCGCCCCGCTATTTATTTATTTTTGTGATCATATTTATTCCACTGTTTTGTTTATTCACTTAACTCATCTATATTTTAATTACTACTCCATCTGTAAGTCTATGAAGTAGAGATTTTTGTCTCTGTTTTTAATCATTGTCCTTTAGCATCATGGCACTGTTTCTTTTTCTTTCTTTTTTGGGTTTTTCTGGTTTTTTTGGTTTTTTGTTTTTGGGTTTTTTTTTCTGTTTTGTTGTTTTTTTTTGATTTTTCAAGACAGGGCTTCTCTGTGTATCCCTGGCTGCCCTGGAACTCAATCTATAGACCAGACTGGCCTCGAACTCAGAAATCTGCCTGCTTCTGCCTCCCAAGTGCTGGGATTAAAAGCGTCCCCCACCACCCAGCTGTTTCTTATTGTTTTAGATTTTAAATTTTTATTTTATATGTATGAGTGTTTGCCTGCATGTGTGTATGTGCACTTCGTTCATGCCTCATGCCCAAGGAGGTCAGAAGAGGGTGGCTCCCCTAGAACTGAAGTTACAGATTATTGTGAACCATATGGGTGCTGGGGATTGAACCTAGATCCTCTGCAAGAGAAACGAGTTCTCTCGTGCTGAGCCATCTCTCCAGCCCCATCATGGCATTGTTTCTTATACACTTAAATTCTCTGTAGATGCTTGTAGAATGAACGAATATAAAATGATGACTCAATCAGTGTGTTAAAATGTATTTAAAAGGCTATTGGGTTTTGATTTTGAGACATGATCTCATGTACCCCAAGTTGCCTTGCACTCAATACTTGACCTTGAACTCTTCCTGCCACTACTGCTGAGTTATGAAATTACCCTGCCAAGCTAAGGCTGTGTGGTTTTATGTGGAAATTTTTATCTCTGTTCTGAAAATGATAAAGTTTTAAAAGCCACCCAGAAGTCAAAACAGCATGTTTTCCATTTTAATATAATGATTGATTTCTCTTTTGTTAACTGTAGGCCTGAGTTGGTTGTTAAGAAACTCCGATACTATGCAAGATTTATAGTAGTTTGTCTTCTTCTTAACAAAATGGATGTTGTGAAAGATCTGGTAAAGGTAAATAGGCTTTTTTTTTTTTTAATGAAACAGTGTCTTAGTATATAACTCAGGCTAGTCTTGGATTTGTAAGTCCTGTGAATCAGTCTCTCTAGTGCTGAGGTTATAAATGTATTTTTTTGGTTTTTTTTTTTTTTTTTTTTTGGTTTTTCGAGACAGTGTTTCTCTGTGTAGCTTTGCGCCTTTCCTGGAACTCACTCTATAGACCAGGCTGGCCTCGAACTCACAAAGATCCGCCTGCCTCTGCCTCCCAAGTGCTAGGATTAAAGGCATGCGCCACCACCGCCCGGCCTAAATGTATTTTAAAATAGCTATAACCCAGCCAGGTATGGTACTGCATGCTTTTAATCCCAACACTTGGGAGACAGAGACAGCCCTTGCTGCCCTGGAACTCATTATGTAACCCAGGCTATCTGTAAAATTGACAGTCTTCCTGCCTCAATCTTGAGGCTTGGCGGCAAACTGATCCTGGATAAGCATAGTCCCCCATGATGGGGCACATCCCTTGGACATCAGCTTAGTCACAAGTAGTGGCCCAGACTCCGGCATCCACAGGGCCCTCAGTGCTATCAGGAGCCGCGACTCAACACAGACCCCCACAGCTGTATTAGGGTCACAGACCAAGTCATGGCCCTTGGCTGCCTCCCAGGCTGAGACATCACCATGACCCTGGTTAGCAAGCAGGGCATCTACCTCAGCCCATTTCTCACCACCCTGTCCTCCTCAGATCTGCCTCTGTCCCCTGCACATAAATTGTACTGCCCCACAGTCTCTCTCCCATTTTGCCACTCACCATAATGGTGCCCAGCGCCAGAGGTGGTAGGCTCATGGGTGTAATTCTTCCCACCCAGGTAGACCTAGGTTGGAGTTGTCAAAATTAAAATTTTTTGTCATTTATTTATTGTGTGTGAGTGTATATACAAGCATAATAGTACATAGGCATCAGGTCAGAGGACAACATGTAGAAATTGGTTCTCTCATTTTACTGCTTGGGTTCCATGGATTGAACTCAGGTTGTTAGGCTGGGTGGCAGGGACATTTACCTGCTGAACCATCTCACTTGCCTTTTTATATAGATTTTTAACAATCCCTTTTCTTTGTGGTATTTCTAATACCAGGAATTGTCTGATGAAATTGAAGATTATACTCATCGCTTTAATACTGAAGATCAAGTAGAGTGGAACCTGGTGCTTCAAGAGGTGGCAGCATTTATTGAGGTAATTTCTTTATTTTCTTTTTTCTTTTTCTTTTTCGGGTTTTTTGTTGTTGTTGTTTTGTTTGTTGTTGTTTTGTTTTGTTTTTAAGACAGGGTTTTCTCTGTATAACAGCCCTGAGTATCCTGGAACTCGCTTTATAGACCACACTTGCCTCAAACTCAGAGATTCACCTGCCTCTGCCTCCCAAGTGCTGAGATTAAAGGCGTGCTCTACCATGCCCAGCCTATTGAGGTAATTTCTTTTTTTTTTTTTTTTGGTTTTTCGAGACAGGGTTTCTCTGTGTAGCTTTGCGCCTTTCCTGGAACTCACTTGGTAGCCCAGGCTGGCCTCGAACTCACAGAGATCCGCCTGGCTCTGCCTCCCGAGTGCTGGGATTAAAGGCGTGCGCCACCACCGCCCGGCGAGGTAATTTCTTGAGAGAAAGGTTGTCACAATCACAGGTAGGGAAATGACTGTGTTGTGTGTTTATGGTGTATATGTGACTCTGAGAAGAACAAATAACAGTGATATTCTGTGTTGTCCTTAATGTGCTTCTTTTTTCTTCAGGCGGACCCTGTGATGGTGTTAAATGATGATAACACCATTGTTATCACATCCAATCGCCTCGCTGAAACAGGAGCTCCATTGCTGGAGCAAGGCATGATTGTGGGACAGTTGTCTCTAGCTGATGCACTCATTATTGGTAATTGTAATAATCAGGTAAAGAACTGTGAAGGAATTATCCTTAAAATTCACTTTGTAAAGGTTAGTTTTGTGCATCATGGGATTTTTCCCTTGTAAAATCCCTAATATCTATGAGGAATGGTTAAATCCATTATACCATGTTCGGATATATAATATTGACTTTGACATTATTGAGAAAGAATTTTTAATGACATAGGAAGATGCTTATTAGTTTATTAATTTACCACTGAGCTACATCTCCAGCCCAGTCAGTATTTATGAAGCATCAGTCACATCTCCAGGGGTGTGTGTGTGTGTGTGTGTGTGTATTTGTATGTATCAAAAAAGACAAAGCCGGGCGGTGGTGGCACATGCCTTTAATCCCAGCACTCAGGAGGCAGAGGCAGGTGGATCTCTGTGAGTTCGAGGCCAGCCTGATCTCCAAAGCGAGTTCCAGGAAAGGTGCAAAGTTACACAGAGAAACCCTGTCTCAAAAAACCAAAAAAAAAAAAAAAAACCACGAAGTGCCTTCATTGGTGAATCTTCCTGTTTACCTGTAAAAACAATTATTAACAAAATAACTACTTAGATAATATAATTTCAACAGATGTGGGAAAGGAGAGGTGTGCTGTTCTGATGTCTGATATCAGGGGATTTGAACTAGTTGGAGAGATGATGGGGTGTTTTCTGAGAAAGTACTTTGGTTAAATACTTTAGTAGAGAGTAAGAAGTTGTCCAGAGTAAGCATGCCAAGCAGTAGTAACAGCTGTGTTACTGTCTGAGCCTGGTGGCCTACGAAGATGAGACACTGGTAGAAGGCTGCACTTGGGAGAGTGGGTATGGAGAGAACAAGCACAGGAAAAAGCCAGGAAGGTTGTCTTTTCCCAAGTCACAGGAAATAGCAAAGGCCCAGGGCAAGGACAGGAGCTGGTGAAGGCTGCATTTTGAGAAGGTAGTTTTTCATTAACTGTTTTATTATTTATTGTTTTTTAGGTTTTCATTGTCAGACAAAGTAATAGGTTTCATTATGACACTCGCTTATGTACATATAGACAAATGTAGACACAGCAACATACTTTGCTGCTGTTCACCCACCTCCCCGGGAGAGGATCGTCTTGGTTGTAATTGTACAGAGTAGAATGAAGACACAATGGAGTTGGCAAAGAAGTTAGGAAACTCACAGAAATCTCAGTGAGTGGTACTATTTCCTTGTGCTACAGGAACAGAGGTAATAATAGAGCTGCGAGGCTGGTTTCCACAGATACTTAGAAGGTACAGCTCATAGCATTGATACGTCATGGCACATGGAAGGAAAGAAAAGTGACCTTTATATTTTGCCTTATTGTACAGCTGTATATATGCTATAAGCTGTTCCTTGGGTGACCCTGCTTCCATGGTTTGGCCTAGGAAAAAAATCCACCTGTTAAGAATTAGATAATAATTAAAGTGCTAGTGAGGGCTGAGATGTTGCTCAATTGGTAGAGTGCCTATCTGCTCATAAAGCCCTGACTTCCAGCCCCAAAGCTACAAAAATGGGGTCTGGTGGCATCAACTGTAACCCCAGCACTGTGTAACGTGGAACAGGAAGTCACCTTTGACTGTAGAGACCCTTTCTTTCTTTCTTTCTTTCTTCCTTTCTTTCTTTCTTTTTTTTTTTTAAAGATTTATTTATTTATTATGTATACAGCATGTATGACTGCAGGTCAGAAGAGGGCACCAGATCTCATTACAGATGGTTGTGAGCCACCATGTGGTTGTTGGGAATTGATCTCAGGACCTCTGGAAGAGCAGTTGGTGCTCTTAACCTCTGAGCCATTTCTCCAGCCCCCGAGACCCTTTCTTTAAAAAAAAAAAAAAAAAAATACAAAAGAAAAAAACAGGTTAGGGCTAGAGTGTAAGGAGCTAAAGAACTGAAGGGAGTTGAGCCAGTACTGAGAAAAGTGCTGCCTGGCATTCAGGGTTAGACAAAGGCCAGTAAGGCTTGCAGTGTAGAATGTATGTGCTCTGCTGACATGACAGTAGGTTTTAATAGTGGTAGCTCCATTCGATGTGATGGCACACACCTATAATCGAAGCTCTTAGGATTGCAGAGACAGGAGTATTGCTGTAAGTGAAGGCCAGCCTGGGCAATGATCCATAGCAAGGCTTTTTTTTTTTTAATTTTTGAGACCGAATCTCACTATGTAGCTCTAGCTGTCCTAGAACTCTTTTTTTTTTTTTTTTTTTTTTTTTTTGGTTTTTTTTTTTTGGTTTTTTGAGACAGGGTTTCTCTGTGTAGCTTTGCGCCTTTCCTGGAACTCACTTGGTAGCCCAGGCTGGCCTCGAACTCACAGCGATCCGCCTGGCTCTGCCTCCCGAGTGCTGGGATTAAAGGCGTGCGCCACCACCGCCCGGCTCCTAGAACTCTTTATGTAGACCAGGCTGGCCTTGAACTTTGCCTTGCAAATGCTGAGATTAAGGGCATGTTTGAACTGAGCCTGCCTCTGCTTCTCAAGTGCTGAGATTAAAGGCATGTGCCACCATGCCCAGCAAGACCCTGTCTTTAAAAACAAAAGAATAACCAAACTAGCAGACCACTTCAGAAATAGGAAAATAAGAAACTGTAATTGTGCAATGTTTAGAGTTTGTTCCTTAGAACACAAAAAAAGCTAAGTGTTGTGGCATATGCCTATAATCACAGCCCTTGGAAGGCAGAAGTAGATGTTTAGGCCATCCTGTCCAAACAAATAGAAAAAAGAATGAGTGAAGCTGCTAGCATTGGTTTTGTCCTGACAAGTGCTCAGTTACCTCCTCTTTGACAATGAAAGGACAGAAAGCCAGGTTGTTATCTCCTTGCTCTGATCTAGAACTTGTTTCGTTCTCATGCAGAGGTGGTGGGTTATGAACAATTTGGGGCTGTGGTGCAGTTTTATAAGTTTTGGAAATTCAGTGGTGTGTTGAAATGTTAAATGTTTTCAGAAATACCTGTATTAATGATTTTGATTGATAATTTTTTTTAATTTCTTTTCATTCTGTGAAATTTTGGATGAGGAGAACAGAGTTTTGCTGATCAGCTAAGAGAGATATTAAATGGGATTAGGGTGTGGCTTAATGGTAGAGCACTTGCCTAGCTGCATGAGGCCCCTAAGCCTGATCCCTAGCACTGTACTATGTATGTATGAATGAGGTACATTTTTGTTTTGATTTTAGAGACAGGGTCTCTGTGTAGCCCTGGCTGTCCTAGAACTCTATTTGTAGACCAGGCTGGCCTCAGACTCACAGAGATCTACCTGCCTCTGCCTCCCAAGTCTGGGTTTAAAGGCATGTGCCACCATACCTGGTCTGAGGTAGTTTTGAAACTTCAATTAATAATCTTTGTAAACAAATACCTTACCTAAAACATTTCTGTTTTATTTTATAGAAGCAGATACTTTATAAACCTCTCCTCTTGGCTCTGTCATCACATGTTCCAAGATCTTCTGCATAAGTGTCATTGAAAATAGAGAAGGATGCACTTTTTTTTTAATGTTCATTGTTTTGCCTGCATGTATGTCTGTGTAAGGGTGTCAGAAGCTTTGGAACTGGAGTTACAGACAGGTGTGAGCTGCCATGTAGGTGCTAGGAATTGAACCCGGGTCCTCTGGAAGAACATCCAGTGCTGCTAAGCCATCTCTCTAGCCTCATGAGAAGGATGCACTCTTAAATGCTGTGTAGTGCCAAACATTGAAGAGATTATAAAGTATGAACCCAGACATAGCTCAGCTTAAGCAAATATTACCATGTTTTGTAGGACTGTTTTTGTAACTTTTGTTGCTCTTTAAAATCCATTTGAGGAAATTGATGCATTATGAGCAACTAAACACTGTTAATTATACAAAGCAGATAGTGAGCATAGGAGTGTCACTACACATTTCTTTTGCCACATTTGCCTTTTGAAAGTCTTGTAATTCAATGTTCAAGAATAAAATATGAGCTGTCTCTGGGCATGGTGGCATACGCCTTTAATCCCAGCACTTGGGAAGCAAAAGCAGGCTCTCTGAGTTCAAGGCCATTTTGGTCTACATAACAGATTCCAGGTCAGCCATGGAAACATGGTAAGAACCTATCTCAAACGAACAAAAAATCCCAACCCACCATAGACAAAGAACAACAGGCAACTAAGGAAAGCTGACTCTAGAAGAATAGTCCTCCTCAGGGGTATACTTCCTAATTGTTTATCCAATATCAAGTTGTCAGCTGTGAAATCATATACATATAAGTAGCACTAAATGGACTGTGCAGGTTGTATTTATCTATTTAGATGCACATACATAAACACATACACCAATAGCAGCTAAAGAAAAAGAGGTCATGATTTCAAGAAGGAACAAGGCAGGTGGTATATGGGTTTAGAGGAAGGAAAGGGAAGGGGAGAAAGATATAACTTCTATTTTAAAAATTGATAGATAGATATTAAAAATCAGCTGTTATTAAGAATACTTGAAAATCAAGAGTAATGTGATTCAAGACCAGAAGTTCAGCTGGGAGGTAGTGGCCCGTACCTTTAATCCCAGGACTGGGGAGACAGAGGCAAGTGGATCTCTGTAAGTTCAAGGCCAGCCTGGTCTACAGAGCTAGTCCCAGGATGGCCAGGGTTACACAGAGAAACCCTGTCTTGAAAAAATTTAAAAAACAAAAAAAGATCAGAAGTCTGCTTATTGCGTTAATGATCAGATAATATTTTTCTTTCAGGTTAAATTCAGTGAATTAACTGTTGACATGTTCCGGATGTTGCAAGCTTTGGAGAGGGAGCCAATGAATTTAGCATCCCAGATGAATAAACCAGGAATACAGGTGACCTTCTGCCCACATTTGCCAGAGTGGTAACTCTTACTGTTTCTTCTTCTCTTACACATGTAAATAAAGAGTTCTCTCAAGCCAGCCATGGGTGCCTCATACCTGTAAGGCACACTAGGTGGCCAAACAGTAGAATTGTTGCAAGTTAGAAGCCTGCCTGGCCTACCTAGTGAGTTCCTGTGACAAACAAAAAGAGTGCTTGCTAAGACAGAAAAGTTGATAAGCACAATTACAGACACAATACTATGAGGACGTTTGATTAAAAAAAAAAAGAATAGGAACTGTTGACCCTGATAACTCAGCTGTCACATACTACTTATGCATCATTTTGGGTATGTTACCATAGGAATCAGCTGACAAGCCCACCAGACGAGAAAACCCCCACAAGTATCTGCTCTACAAACCAACCTTCAGCCAGCTGTATACTTTCTTAGCAGCATCTTTTAAGGTATGTCCTTTCTTGTGCAGTGAGGAAAGTGTGCTCATGGTGGACTTGGTCACTCTTCAGAAGCCTGACTTAAAGTGTTTAGTGATTTGTTAGCATGGACAAGTTCCAGTAGTGATTCTGACCCCCTTGCTGTTTGGGGAATGGTAGTTGCTAATGATGTCAGTATTTTTTTTTTTTTTTTTTACCATCGATCAGAGACTATTGGTTAATTATCATTCTCTCCCTTTCAGATTTTTATTACTAAACAACTTTAGGCTTAACACTCAGTGCAAACTGAAAATAAGAACAGAATATATAGCATTCATGTGCTCGGGCAGCTCAGTAAGACATTGTTAATATCTGATATAAGTGTGTGGTAAATGCCTATAATCCTACATTTGGACAGGAGTTGAAACCCTCTTGGACCACACAGTAGCAAGTTCAAGGACAACCTGGATATGTCAGTACACAGAAAGATTGAGGCCAGTGTGGACTCCATACAGCCTAAAAAAAAAGGAGTGATGAAAATTAGGTGGTATCTTCCCAAAATTTATATAGAGGAAGGTGTGGAGGGGAGTTTGCCTTTTTTTTTATCCCTAGTGGAGATCTTTCTCTCTCTGTTTCATGTTTTCAGAGAACATGCTCTAACAGATGGGGAGTTGCAAGTAGAAAATGTGTTCACGGCTTTGGGCAACAGTTATGCAGTATAGATTATAGTGAATCTTTACCATATGATTTTAAGTTGGAACAAGTGGGAATATGATAATTCTCTTGGAAATAACAGTAGTGTATTAAACGACATCATTTTCCCTACAACCTTAAACTGCCCTGAACTTTAAATAAAACTATATTGTTTTTTCTGTCTGTGGTTTTGTGTGTGATTTTCTTTCATTTCAGGAGCTGCCTGCCAATAGTGTGCTTCTGATTTACCTGTCAGCCACTGGCGTTTTCCCCACAGGTCGTTCTGATGGTGAAGGTACAATAAAGGAATGCTCCCACCGTGAGCAGGGCTTGAATTCTCTCTATTTTCTACAAGACAGTGGCCCACAGCCCAGAGACCACCTCAAGCTTTCTAGAGAAGCTTCCAAATTTAAAATTTGCTCTGCTTGTTTAGTGACGGTGTTGAAAAGAGTGTGCTTAACTCTCCACATTCAACTATTATTCCTTGAAGTCCAAATATCTTGAAATAGTACATAGATCAAATTCATACTTTGCTATCAAATTTATCAAAACCATCATATGTAGATTTATACATATGCAGTTTAATGTTTGACATTGTAAAGGACTATGGAATCTGCCAACCTATTTATTTGAGGTCATTGATCATTGTAAGCTTTTAATACATTTGGGGATCTGGTCAGAGGCAACATTATGGCCGAAAGTCTTAGTAGAAATCAGTGTACTTTTGTAACTGTGAAAGTTCAAGTCCTTGTTACGATTTTATTTTCAATCCTTTTTATTTTGTGACTATGGATTCAGTCCATGCAATATTGGGATGCTGTTTCAGAATAAAACCTAAAACTGTCAGAACATATGAGCTCAGAAACTGTTCAGACTAGATGAGCAACTTAGATGTAAATGAAGGAATTACATCTTTGGAGAAAAATAGTTTAACATTTTCAGCATTTTCCTCCTCATCTGTCTGTTGGAATTGGCATTCCTTTATAAAATGCATGACCCACCATCTTCCTTGCATGACCTACAAAGTAGTAAAATGTTACTGTGAAAATAAAACAGGGCAAATCTCTGTAGTCTTTACATTGCAATGATGTTTTAAAGGGCTATAATTCACATGTGATGTGAGGGAATGGGGTGTGGTGGAATACTAACGGGCAGATACAAGGGAGGGAGAAGACAATAACAAGTGCCTTAGTTCTTATTTAAATGTTAGTCACTTTATATTTAAGTATCTCTTGTTATTAAACAGCTATTCTGGGTCTAAATTAGAGTATTGACCTCTTATTTTTTGCTTTTTGTAATTAATATAGGTATTAACTGAATGATTGTTTCTCAGAGATTATCTGAACATTACATAGTAACTGTTCAACTTAGACAAGGGTTAGCTAACTCTATGACCAGTGGGGAAAGGCTAACATGTAAACCATAATTAAAGAGGTTTATATAATAGTAAAATAATGGATTTTTCATGTACTGGAATTTGGCAGAATATTTCATAAAAATAAAGTTTTGTTAATCAGAATTTTCAAGTTTAATTCTAATTTTTCTTTTTTTTTAAGATTTATTTATTTATTATGTATATAGTGTTCTGTCTGCATGTATGCCTGCAGACCAGAAGCAGGCAAAAGATCTCATCAGGGATGGTTGGGAGCCACCATATGGTTGCTGGGAATTGAACTTAGGACCTCTGGAAGAGCAACCAGTTCTCTTAATTGCTGAGCCTCTAATTTTTCTTTATGTCTTACATTTAGTAGTTAATTTAAAATTATATTTTCTGGATGAGGTCCAATAGTGTATCCCTGTAATGCCAGTTACTCAGGATGCTAAAGCAGGAGGATCACTTAAGCTTAGGAGCTCAAGACCAGCCTGTGCGACATAATGAGAGCCCTGAATCCTGAATCCGTAGATAGAGGGAAGGGGAAAAGGGGAGAGCGAGATTGCAGTTTGCAGTTAGCAGCTTTCTTTGTAAGGTACTTTTGTTAAACCAGAGACTGAAATTTTGTTTGCAGTGTAAATGTTATTTTAAACATCCTAGGTTTCCATCCCTTTTTACCACCCAAATTAATGGGATGCTGTTAGATTCTTGGCTTTGTTGTTGCTGCTGGGTTGTTTGTTTGCTTTTTGATTGTTATTTTTGTTTTGTTTTGTTTTGTTTTTGTCAGAGTCTGTCTGTGTAGCCCTGGCTGTCCTGGAGCTCACTATGTCATGTAGACCAGGCTGGCCTCAAATGCACAGAGGTCCACCTGCCTCTGCCTCCTAAATGCTGGGATTAAAGGGGCATGCCACCACTCCTGGCTGTAGATTCTTATTTTGTTTCTCATTATATTCTGTTTGAAAAGCAGGTAAATAATTAAGTGATTTTTTTTTAAATCATTAAAGTAGGCAGTGTGCTGAAATCATGAAAGTACTGTGTTATGGTAAAATGTTAAATTTAAAGATTATTTAAATGTTTTGTGCTTATCTTGCACTTGTATCAAAGGGAGATTCACTGGTACTCTTGCATCTGAGCTTCAAATCGGTCTGTGTTACCCTCCAGTTGAGTTCTAGGTTTCTTCTCTTTGTTCTTTAGGTCCTTACGACTTTGGAGGTGTACTTACTAATAGTAACCGGGATATTATAAATGGAGATGCAATCCACAAACGAAATCAGTCCCACAAGGAAATGCACTGGTACATATTCTAGTATCTCTTTTTATTCTAGGGATTAAAACTCCTTAAATATTAAGAGAAATGGAGACTTCATTTTGCTACTGGACAGGTTCCCATAGACTACTGTTGATAGCAATTATTTGTGTTCTTGTGTGAAAGCTTGCTCTTTCTCTAGCACAGAACCATCTGTAGAATTTCTATAGCTGAAAGAGAAAATTCTCCTTTTAATGAACAGTTGGCTTGTCGGATGATACTTTATGTTTAATATCAACTGTTCAACTGTTCATACTGAAAAATGGATAAAGGAGGAGACCAGACCTGTGCATATTTCAAATTCTTCATGCCTTAGCTAAGGTTTCCCCAAGCCACATGTGATGCTGTTGCTCACCTTAGTTTTAAATCATTTATTTTAGAAAATGTCACACATACTTGAGTAGTACATGCACAGCATCACCAGTCATCTGAGAAATTCAAATTAAAAGCATGAGAAGTTAATACTTAGTGTCTGTTAGGATAGTTGTTGCAAAACACAAGTGTTGTTAAGGATATGAGCAGAGAGCCCTTGAAGACTGTTGTGAGAATATCATTGGATTGGTACAATTATTATGGAAAACGGTATGGGTTTTCCTCTAAAAGTTAAAAATAAGGGCCAGTGAGATGGCTAAGCAGGTGAGTGCATTTGCCACTAAGCTTGATGACCTGAGTTCAACCCCTTACACCTACAGGTTAGAAATGAACTAAATCTCCACAGGTTGTTCTCTGACCTCCACGTCAGCACTGTGGTGAAGGTGTGTGGTGGGGTGGGGGAAGAAAGAGATCACACACACAAGATAGATGGATGGATGGACGGATGGACAGATAGATAGATAGATAAATATAAGTAAGTTTAAAATAGACTAAGTATAATGGCATATACCTGTGATCCTAGCACTTACAAGAACAAGACAGTCTGGGTGGGCTACATAGCATTCATGTGGAGACATGAATGACTAGATGAATAAATAAATACATAAATAAATTTGAACTAGATAGCTAGGGAGATAGCTCAACAATTAAAGCCCTTGCCACACAAACAAGAGAACCAGAGTTTGGATCACCAGAACCCATGTAATTGTTGGGTGTGTGTGTTGGCCTGGAATGGAGGAGAGGAAATTCAAGCAGCAAGCTGACTTGCCAGACTATACATCTCAGCAACCTCTGAGTTTGACTGAAAGACTACCGCAAATAATAAGGTAAAAAGTGATTTAAGAAGATTCCTTCCATTAACCTCAGGTCTCCATCATATCCAACACACACATACTACACACTACAAAGAAGCAAAAAATAGACTTTAAAACAGTAACCCATTTCATGGTCTATATCTAAAGGAAATGAAATTATGTCACTTAGTATACTATCTAAACCAAATGTCTGCACCCCATATTCATTACAACGTTACTCACAAAAGTCAAGATTTAGAAATGATCTATTGAGACTTGGCCATACAGTTATAAAATTCCTCACTGTTATTTTTCTGCAGCCTTCATCCTGGAGATCTCTATCCATTCACAAGGAAACCCCTGTTTATCATCGTGGACTCCTCCAACAGTGTTGCCTACAAGGTGAGTCCTTGGAGAGCTGGTGTTCATGCCAGGTATATAGCAGTAACCCCAGGGTCCCCATTCTAACATGTGCCCTTTTATTTTGCTTTGTTTTACTTACTTAATTTTACAGTTTGTATTTAGTGTTTCTTTTCTTTTGAGGTTGTGCATGCTAGTCAGGATCTGATGCTATGAATAGAAACAAGAAGAAACGCATGAATGGACTCTCAGTGGAAAATACTAAATCCTCCTGCAGAAAAAAAAATTTTTCAAGATTTCCAAGATCTCTGGTGGGAGGTTTATTTTTGTTATATAACCCAGAATGTTTTCCTTTACAGAGCTAGAGATAATATGGGTGGCTTATTTTCTAGTTTTTAAACACTTTTCACTTCTGCACACCTAACTGTTAGAGTTTACATGAAACTCCATCTCATATTACATAGTGATGATCTTGATTATTAACAGTTTTACAAATGCTTTGTTTTTTCATGATTGAGTCTGAATGTTGGAGTAAGTGACAGTGGTTTAACCAGGAAGTGCTTTTGCAATGTTTTGATACTGAAACAAATCCTCAGGGGCTTGAGAGATGGCTCAGTGGTTAAGAGCACTGACTGCTCTTCCAGAGGACCTGGGTTCAATTCCCAGCACCTACATGGCTGCTGACAACTGTCTGTAACTCCAAGGTCTGACACCCTCACATAGAAATAAAAAGAAAGAAGAAGAAACAAACAAATCCAGAGCCACTTAAAAAGCACCAGCAGTGAAACACTTTGACGTCACTAGAATTCAAGCTGTAATCATTTATAATAAAGCAAAACAGGCTTTAGCCTCTTTTGTGTCTTGTTGGGATGTCTGATTAGGGAAAAGCATGTCCACACTTGGCTGGGTGCTTGTTTCTGTTCCTGAAAATTCCTACTGCTGTGGGTATCAACATGAATGGAGAAGCAAACATTAGTTTATTCTATCATGGCAGTGGAAATGGCTGGTAGCCAAGAATGGTGACCCAACATGTATGTTTTCCATTTTCTCATGTTTAGTTTCATTTTAAAAATAAAACATGAATTCTAAGAGCATCTAATTCACCCTAAAATTTTTAGCATGTTTCTTGCTACCCATTTTGTTAAGTTCAATGTTAGATTTTTTGATTTTTAGCAAACATATCTGTCCTTTCTCAATTTGTATATTTGTATATATCTGCTGGATGTAGGAGCGATGGGGAGCTACTAAAGGAAGGCCAGAACAGGATTGGTGAGAGTTCAGGGCAGCTTGGGCTACAGAATGAGTCCCTGTCTTGAAATAAAAATATCTAGACAAGAAGGTCCAGCATATAAATACATGAATTACTTGTACATAAAAGTTCTTTCAGAATAGAACAGAAACAGAAAAATGGGGGAAAAAATCAATGGAATAATTCAAGAAAATGGGCAGTTTCCATACTGAAAGAATTCACCAATAGCAGTTCAAAATACACCCAGATCATTGCCCTGCCTTTTTCTTTGCTATAAATACTAGAGAAATATAATATACACATACATACATGCACATACAATAGGCATATATAATTGCCTTTTTCTCATGTTTGAAATAGCTTCTCATATCCTTGAGTACATAAGTGATTATTTTTACTTTGTTTGTATGTGATACAACCCAGGGCCTCATCATGGTAGGTGAGTGCTTTACCTAGCTACACTTCCAGCCACAGAAATCATCTTATATTCTGCTTTGCTCTGTGCTGAGTTGTCTCTGTTTCTTGTTTGTTTTTTTGAGAGACAGTTTCTCTGTGTAGTTTTGGTGCCTGTCCGAGAACTCACTCTGCAGACCAGGCTAGCCTCAAACTCAGAGAGAGATTTGCCTGCTTCTGCCTCCCAAGTGCTTAGATTAAAGGTGTGTACCACTACCTTCTGGCTTGTGTCTGTTTCTTTTTGCCTCTTTTATATGAGACCTTATTCAGAGTACCATAACCCTTGCTTGTCTGGTTCTGTTTTAGAATGGAGGCAAGAAACTATATGAGCGGATATGACTTGTCATATTTAAGATGGATTATTTAGTTGGATGGTAAACTCTTACGTCAGGTCATTAGGTCTTCCTTTATGCTTACATCATATTTATCAGCTGAAACCCATTATTCTACCTAGAATATAAACTTCCGACTATCAGCATATGTATAACTTCCCTGATGTGTGCACTGTGACTGTTTGGATGCATGAATGTTTTTTTTCCCCCTGCCTCACATTTAAGATTCTTGGTAAATACATAAGGAATCCTTATGCTAAGGATTAAATGTCCTGTGTAACTCTGCTTTCTGATTCCAAATTCCTGTTCTTTCCACTCTTGGAAAAAGAGCTTTGCATGTTCATATGAGCTTCCTGGTAGGAGGAAGTTATTGATAAACCAAGATCTGTGTGATATCTATGACCCATATTTTGTCTAACGTGTTTCCATTAGTGTTAAAGTGGGCACATCGATTGGCTTTCTCTGTGGTAATGTAGCATTTAAATTAGCTGGTAATTTAGCTGGAAATTTAAAAAAAAAAAAAAAGTCCCCAGTAACTTAGGAAATTCTTTTTAATTCTTCTTTCCTTCCTTTGGGGGGAAAAATTCATTATGAATATTGAAAATTCAAGTAATGGGTCTCTGCCAGTGCAAATGGCTGTCAATGAAACAGCCTTAGCCTAAAGCATTTGATGTGTGCAAATTGCTTGTATGCTTGTATGACTTTTACCACATAGTCAGTGTACCTGGTCCTCTGCCAGCCCGCCTCAAATTCCAGAATCCCATTTCTTTCCCATTCCTTTGAAATTCCTTTTCTTAGCTTCTAATAGTCTGCACTTAGTCTGTAACGATTATACTTCTGGTTGAACATGTCAGGTATGTTAAATGATTTGAATTGTTAGGTTGGAGTTGTTCGTTTATGATATGACAGTTCTCAGCCATTATCTCTGTACTTGCTGACTCTTGAGCCCCTTTCCCATCTCCCCCTTAGACTCGTTTAGGCTTGCACATTTCTACTTTCTTCAGTATTTTCCATCATCGTGTTTTTGTTAGGGATTATGTCATTTTTTTTTTCATCCTGCTTTAGTTCACAGTGTTTCCCTTAGCTGTGTGTAACACATTATTAATCCATCTTGAGTTTCATGTTGCTGTGCATATTTTTTATTTCTCTGGTTCCTTTTGATATATTACATTGCCCATTATAATTTACTATTTCAGTCTTTGCTTTTACTTCTTTGAGCTTAATAAGCAGTTATTTGTATTGTCTATCACACAATTCCTACACTTGAGTCTACTTTTGCTATTTAAGATAACATTTTAATTTTTGTGTTTGTGCATGTTTATTTTTGAAATTTAAAATTTTTATTTTATGTATGTGCAGTGTGAGTGTGTGTGTGTGTGTGTGTGTGTGTGTGTGTGTGTGTGTGTGTGTACACCATATGTGGGCAGATGTCTGCAAAGGTCAGAAGCAGGCATTGGATCCCATGAAGCTGGGAACTGAGCTGCTGATGGAAGTGCTGTGAATGGAAATGGAGTCCTCTTGAAGTTCAGCAAACACTCTTAGCCACTGATCCATATCTCCTGCCCCAGCGTGCTTATTTGTGTGTGTGTGTGTGTGTGTGTGTGTGTGTGTGTGTGTGTGTGTGTGTGTGTCTTCTTATTATCCTTAAATCTTAAAATTGGGAGATGTTCATGAGGGCCTAATATGAAGAAACCTTTAGTTTCAGGAGATTTACATTTGCTTGTAACAAACATCAAGAAGTACCACCAGCTTAGGACCCTGTTTGTAGTATCACCTGGGTAGTAGATATTTAGACTGCAGGAATGTACAAGAGCTGACATCCTGCAGGAACTAATTGTCTGTTGAGCTCAACACCAAGAAAGGTTACCTTACCATTCTGTAAGAAATGGTCCTAGTGGGAAGACATGTGAGGGTTGACTTTACATCATTCTTACTTTAAAGGGATAGCCATGTAGTATTCTTCTCTAATGTGAGCAGATATGGATCTCTTACCATCTCTGCCCTTTTCTAGATGTGGCTTTCAAAACCTAAATCCAAGTTGCTAGTTTGCCTTGGACCAGGCAAGGTCTGGCATTAGCTTATTTGTCCAGTCTCTTCTAGTAGTTTTTCCTCATATCTCTGACCATCTTTGGAGTGTCCCTGGGTTCCATCCTGTTCTTATTTTCCAGACATAGCTGACTCCCTTAGTGCTGATACTAGTTTCATGACTTAATTACTGTACCCCCACTGGTTTCTTCCAAGTGTTACCTCCAGGTAAGACCTCTCTCTAGAACTCCACTTCTAATCATCTACCTACTTTGTGTATCCAGTTGGGAATTCTTCAAACAATTGCAAACTAACAGAAACCACTATACCCAAGACAATTCTAGACCACTTCTACCTCCAGACTCCCTGTCTCAGTTGGTGCCTGTTTTGCTTTTATAGTTATCCCAGCTGAAAGTTGTGTCTTCTTTCTTGATGTTCTTCTCCTTCCCTCCTATATCACATGCATTTCATGAAACCTTCTAGGATTTAATTAAATGTCCCAAATGTCATGTACTCCACTGCCATTCCCCTGGTTCATGCCACTGTTCTCCCTCACCTGAGTTATTGTAGTAGCTTCCCAGCTAGGCGTACTTAATTCTTCTTTACCTCTCACCTCCTGCATGTGTGCCTTTGTGTCAGGATAAACCTTCTCTATTCAAACTCTCCCATGGCTTCTTATCTCACTCAGAATACAAGACACATGTGGCATCTTTGATCTTCTTATCAATCTCTCCAGCTACACTATTTCCTTCCTGGTCCTTGTCTTAGTTAGGCTTTCTATTACTGAGATGAAACACCATGACCAAAAAGCAAGTTGGGGAGGAAAGGGTTTATTTGGCTTACACTTGTGGATCATAGTCCATCACTGAAGGAAGTGAAGCAGGAACTCAAGCAGGGCAGGCTCCTGGAGGCAGCAGCTGATGCAGAGGCCAAAGGAGAAGAGTGCTGCTTTACTGGCTTTCTTCTCATGCCTTGTTCAGTCTGCTTTTTTACAGAAGCCAGCACCACCTATCCCGGGGTGGCACTACCCACCATGGGCTGGACCCTCTCCTACTGATCACTAACCGAGAATATGCCCTATGTTGAATCTCATGGAGGCATTTCCTCAACTAAGGCTCCTTCCTCTCTGATGACTCTAGCTTGTGACACAAAACTAGCCAGGACAGTCCTTAGTATTTCAGGGAGTCTTCTGCTTTGGCCCTTTCTATCTTAAATGCCCTATCAAAGGTCCCTCATATTTGTTAAGTGTTTGAACAAATGAAACCTCTTAGTCAGGTCCTCCTTAATTGCCATGTTTCAGATCACATGCCTTTTTCACATTGTGACTTTATTGTTCTTCATAACCATGATAGTTCACATTTGTATCATGACAGCTGTGCTAGGTGTTCTTCTAAGTGTTTGATATACTTGAGCACATTCAATTCTCACACAGATAATTTGTTACTTTTTTTTCAGTACTGAGTGTGAATATAGGGCCTCACATACACTAGGCAAGCACTCTGCCACTGAGCTTCATCTCCAGCTCTCTTTTTCTTTTTTGTTTAGAGATAGTGGTGTTTCACTAAGTTGCTTAAGCTGGCTTTGAAGTTAACTCTATAGCTCAGACCAGCCTTGAACTTACAGTCTTCCTGCTTAGCCTCCCAAGTAGCTACAGTAATTATAAGACTGTACCTCCAGGCCTACTGTTACCACTTTTATTATCTTCATTTGACTGATAAGAAAAACAAGGCACAGGAAGTTTAAGCATTTTTTAAAATATTTTATGTGTATGGATATTTTGTCGACATGGATGCCTGTGCACCACCTGCATATAGTGCCCATGGCGGCCAGAAGAGGGTGCCAGATCCCCTGGAACTAAAGTTACAGATGGTACTGTGTAGGTGCTGGGAAATGAACCCAGGTCTTCTGCAACAGGAGCCAGTTCTCGCTGAGCCATCTCTCCAGACCCAGGGTCACACAGCAAACTAAGGGGTAGCAAAGCTGGATTTAAACAATCTGATTACAAAACCTGTACTATTAATGTAATTATTTGAATTCCATGCTCTGTGCCTAGACTCTTTGTTACCTTTGAGGTCTTGTATAATTTATTCATTTTGTTTACTGAGGGCCTCCCTGTATCTGCCACTTGCATCCCTGTCCAAATGTCATCTTCAGGGAGACAGGGCTTTTCTGTTTTGTTTACTATCCTATCTTTAGCATCTGAGACAGAGTCTGCTCCATCTCCTCAATGAGTATTTATTGAAAACAGACCTTTTAAATGGATACTATATCTATTGATGTAAGTTAATACTGGAGGTTTTATTCTGTTTCATTTTGAGACAGTCTTGCTCTGTAGCTCAGTTTGGCCTTGAACTTGAGATCCTCCATTCTCAGCCTCCCAGGTTAATAGGTATGAATCACCACGCCTTGCAGTTTGACACAATTTTTAACTTACCAGTTTTTAAAAGTGTGTGTGTGTGTGTGTGTGTGTGTGTGTGCACATGTGTGTGTGAATGTATACCACATATGTATGATTGTCCACAGAGACAAGAAGAGGGTATTGGATCCCCTGGAACTAGAGTTACAGGCAGTTGTCAGTTGCCTGACATATCAGTGCTGGGAACCAAACTTGGGTCCTCTGGAAGAGTAGAGTGCTCTCAACTGCTCAGTCATCTCTCCAATACCCCTAAATTGTTTGTAACTACACACACACACACACACACACACACACACACACACACGTGTTGGGGAGTGGGTTGTTATGTGTGGAGGTCAGAGAACAACTTTGAGTCAGTCCTTTTTTTCTACCATTTGATCTCTGGGAATCAAATAGGTTGCCAGACGTAAAGCACCTTTACCTGCTTAGCCTTCTTCCCAGCCACACTTTGTTATTTTTTATTTTTTTTTTTTTTATTTTTTTTTTTTTTTGGTTTTTCGAGACAGGGTTTCTCTGTGTAGCTTTGCGCCTTTCCTGGAACTCACTTGGTAGTCCAGGCTGGCCTCGAACTCACAGAGATCCGCCTGGCTCTGCCTCCCGAGTGCTGGGATTAAAGGCGTGCGCCACCACCGCCCGGCAACTTTGTTATTTTTAATAGATTCTTTAACTAGGACTTAGGATTTGTCTATCATTCTAGGTTAGCTGGCCAGTGAGCCCCAAGTCCAACTGTCTCTATCTTCCCAGTGATGGTGTTATAAGCACGTTACCACATTTTGCCTTTTACATGTTCGCTAGGCATTGAACTCAGATCCTCATACTTATGTGGCAAGTATTTTATCAACCAAGTCCTAAAATTGAAATAGAATCTGATATGCCAGGCATGGTCACTGTGCCTATAGGTTGAGGTGGGAGGTTCACTTGATTTTAGGAATTCAAATCCAACCTGAACAACATCCCAAGACCCTGTATCTAAGTAAATAAATAATATATACAACCCCGTATTGTCTATCAGGATCCTACAATAACCCCCAAGATGTTCATAATTTCACGAAGGACTTAATACTCAGCATATAATTATGTGAAGACTTAATAGAGTAAGATGAAGATAGTAAAATCAGCAAAGGATAAGGAAATGTAAGAGAGTCTGGAGAAAACCAGGTCTAAACTTCCAGGGTGTTGACTCAGGAGTCACACAGAATGTTCTTCATTCCCCAGCATGACCATGTGAATTAAGTACTTTATTTTAGGAATGCAGACCTTGGAGTGCAGATCAGTTAGTATTGTGTTTGCCTAGTATTCATGAAGCTCTGCTTTCTGTCCTCAGCACTTGGGACATGGAAACCAGAGGGTCAGAAGCAGAGCAACCTGGATTACATGAGACCCAGTCACAAGACTTTAAAGACTGACTCACTAGAGAGCTGAAGTCAAGGCTTTTAATGGGAACTAATCACTAGAATGTCCTCTGCCAGACTTCCAGAGGGAATGTTGGGATTCCCCTAAAGTGTCTCATTTACCCCATCTATGCAGAGTAAGCCCAATCATGTGAGTCTTCCCACACGTAGCTTCCAGCAGCCAGCCAAAGCTAACTTCATAAGCTGGCACTCAGACCTAGTGCAGTATCTGCACAATATTTGTAAGTATATCCGTGTATGTATATAAGATGTATCAGAAGACAGAGCTTGACCAGCAAGCAGAAAGAAGAGACCTTGTGCGAATGAATGGTAGTGTTGTCTACTTTAGCACTATCCAGAGCAAGAGCAGCACAGACTAGGACCCACAGGCATTTCCAAAATGTAGAATAATACTGTGGTATTTCTTCAGTGCTGGGAATGGAGCTCAGGACTTCATACAGGATAGGCAAGCTTGGGTTTTTTGGTGGGGGAGGGGGGTCGTGGCAGGGTGGGTGGGTGGGTGGGTTGGTTGGTTGGTTTGGAGATGTGGTCTTATGGAGCCCAGGCTGGCCCCAACTCCTGAACCTCCTACCTCATTTTTCAAGTGCTGGGACTGAGAACATTTCTACCTTTCATGGCTCATACTGCATTTTTCTGGGCTATGTTTTTGCTTATGTAACAAGCTTTATTAATCTTAGCAATCAAAATAGTTAGGAAGGGCCTAACTAATGACTTGCTGTATTTTTGGTCACCACTTCTATTGCTTGCTTCTTCCATTTAGATTTTTGACTGATTTGATATTCACATTTATAGCATAAAATGTAGAGACAGCATGTTTTTTCTAAATGTGGGAAAAAATTACTGTATTATACATACAGAAGTCCTATGTGTTTGCAGTTCCTTTTCTGTACTTTCCATTCTGTTCCATTTGTTTTGTGCCCACTCTTGTACCAGTGCCACACATTTCAGTTACTGAAGTTTTTAAGTATACTTTAATATCTGATGAGTCTTCTCTTTTGCTTTCCTGACTTATTTTGCCATTTGAACTTCAGCAGTACATTTTTTTGTTGTTGGGGGAGGAGGGTGGGTAGGAGGCACTAGTAGCTCTTTTTATTGAGATTGGTTCAAATTTTAATACATTATCATGACATTTTAGAATGGGTTCATCTATAAGAACATAATGTGTCTTTCCATTTCTTTACCTTTATTTTTACCCTTTAGAATTTCTAACTTTCTGACTTATTCAGTTTACTCCTAGGAATTATACCTTTTTTGTTGCTTCACCAAATAATTTATGTTATTAAAATTGTATCTATTATAATAGATCTGCCTTTAGAGAAATTATATTCTAAATTATGCAGAGTGCTCCACTTGTAGTCTGAGTGTCCACTTAGTTCTTGCTGTAATGAGCACATTGGCACCATCCTGTATGAGTTGTTGCTGTGAGACTCAGTAAGGGATTTATTTACCCATTCCCAGAGCCTTTGAGACTGAAAGCTAGATCTTCTGGAAAATTCACCCTGGTGAATCCAGTGGGACCACTGTTTCTAGAGGCCCAGATGACCTGTATCTGCAAAGCTACAATTATATATCTGCTATTACTTTAAAAAAATCAGTGTACATAGTGAATGTCACTGTTTTAGTGGCAGTCCTTTTTAGCAAATTGGTATGCATGGTAATGAAACATGAACTGCATATCTGCAACTGCTGCTGTTTCCATATCTGCTTGTAAGTTAGAGCCCAATCTGTACACTAGTTATGTGCATTGGAAAATTACTAGGTCACTACAATTTGTCAAATCTTTAATGAAAGTCTTAAATTCTTATATATTGCAGAATTTCACAAACTTATTTGGACAGCCACTCGTCTGCTTGCTTTCTCCCACGGCATATCCAAAAGCTTTGCAAGGTATGTTCTTTAGTTCCTGTTAGACCAGTAGGTCTTAATGAAACAAGAACATATTTGTTTTGATCTCCCATCATGATTAGACATGGATGTATGGTTCTTGTAGCAAGTGTCAATCTGAAATATACCTGGAATCCTTGCTGGCAAGGTTTCCCTAATGTGCTGTGATTAGGCCTTGAAGTGATTCATCTCTGAGAAAGAAGTGGTTTGATCCATTGCTGAGAGAGCTCCTAGTTTTTAGATTTAAAAAATCAGTTTTGATTTTCTTGTCATATCCATATAGCATGATTTTCCTACATCTTTGGTTATATACCTTAGGCATCTTTGAAGACTGTAAAATTGCTGGTCTAGGAAACTTCTCAGCCTATGTCTAAGAGTTAGGATACTTGAGCTGGCACAACTTAAAAGGCTTCTTTCTTTCTCTTCTTGTTTTATGTTTACTTTTTTCTTTGAATTTTTATCTTGTTCTTTTAAAATAAAATTCTCTTCAGAATTCACCAGAAGGACAAGTTTGTTTGGGCCATTTCTCCAGTGGCTACAAAGGGAAAGCCTTATGTCCTTAGTATTTTGTCCTCAATAGGTTACACGTAAAATCTAATTCTAACTCCCAGTCGTTTCCTAGGTCAAATGCTAAGTGAGACTTCACACTGTCTTAGCAGTACTTGTCACTGTGTCACTGTCTCCCTGACTGTGAATAGTGCTGCTGTCTCTCTGTGGGAGATGGCATTATACTGCTACTTCCCAGCCCGAAGTCCTGTCTGCTGACATAGTTTGACACAGGAAGTGATTGATGGTCAGCACTTGAATGCCTGAGAGAAGCTGGAGACTTACACCGTTGTTTTAAGGTAAGTTCTGCTGTTTAACAGGGAAAATCTTGTAGCAATTCTAAGTTCACATAGCCAAAGCCAAATCCTAAGGGATAGAACTTACCTTCAAACAACGGTAAAATTCTCCTGCTTTGAGGACTTTGCATCCTGTTTCTTATTGTTTCTGGAGGAATGTAACCTCTTCCCACTACTAGAGAGTGCTGTCATCATCCTATTTTAATGTAGTTTTACTTAAAACTACATGGTCAAGTGGGTTAATACCAAAATTCAGTTAGTGACTTCATCGCACAGAGGAGGAAAGCACAGACAGGTGAATGCCAGCTGAATTTGAGTCCCAGCCTAGCCACTTACTAGCTGTGTGACTTTGGAATGCTATTCAGCCATTTTGTGCCTCGGTTATTTCATCTATCCAATGGAAATAATAATAGTATTTAACCCTATAGCATAGTACTAGGTACCTAGAAAGTACTCAGTTTGTGGTGTTAATGTGTGTGTAGTTGTGATTCATTTCCTTAATGTTTTGTTTTTTGGTTTTTAGTTTTTTTTGTCCAACATCCTATCTTTAAACTATAAAGTTTAGGGGGCTGGAGAGATGGCTCAGTGGTTAAGAGCACTGAGTGCTCTTCCAGAGGACCTGGGTTCATGTCCCAGCACCCACGTGGCAGCTCACAACTGTCTGTAACTCAAGATCTGACATCCTCACACAGTCATACATGCAGCAAAACACCAATGCAAATAAAATAAATTATAAAAAAAAAAGTTTAGACTACAAATACCTTTAAGTAAAATTCAGCCACCAGACAGATTGAATATTCTAATATTCAATTCAGGATTTATTCAATAGCATTGTTGCTGCTGACCTCAACAACAGGGCTTGGCACTCTGGCCACAAAGTAGATGTATTTATTTGATAAGGTTCCTACATTTTTGGTGTCTGTAGCTCTATCATTAGTCAAGACATACTTTATTCATTCAGTACAGTTTTTAAGATTAATTCATCAGGCTAGGCACTGGGGAACAGCACTGCATCTGATATTCCAGTTGTGTTTCTCATAGAGCCAGTGTCTAGTAGAAGATAGAGATGACCTGACAGGAGGAGGCATAGGAGTACGAACAAAGAACTGCTACTAACACACAGGAGTAAAGCAAAGGGAGAGATGATAGATGGGGATTCAGAGTGACTGAGCAGGCAGAGTTCTAGCAGAAAAACTGTATGTGTTATAGCCTTGAGCTATGAGAGCCTGTAAAACATTAGAGAAGTTTAAGTGGTGTCTCTGACTGAAGGGATTATGTGATTGAATGATAAAATCCCTTTAAAGATTGATAATATGATTTGAATTGGAGAGATTGGAGTAAAAAATGCTAAACAGAGGAGGAGGATGAAAGAGCATGCAGAGAGAATGGATTAGAAGGGTACTGAGGGAAGTAGCCAGATGATGGTGTCAGGAGCTCAACAGTGACTGAATGCTAAGTTTGCTGATGCTGCAGGACTTGCTGATAGACTGGGAGACAGAAAGCAAGCAGATAGGTGTGTGTGACTCAGGTATTGGTGGAAATCCTGAGTCTTGATGAGAACCTGCATTAGAAAACTGTAGAGGAAAGCATGTGTTGAATTCAGGGTCTTTCTGAGAATGGAGTTGAATCTAGCCCAGTGCTGTTCAGTAGAAATGTAGGATGAGTTGCATAGATAGTGAGTGTTAACAATATGCCTTTTTGTGCTAAGTCTTTGAAGTCTGGGATGCATTCAGAGATAGTTTGGAGGGCGGTGGTAGCGCATGCCTTTGATCCCATCACTCGGGAGGCAGAGCCAGGTGGATCTTTGTGAGTTCGAGGCCAGCCTGGTCTACAGAGTGAGATCCAGGACAGGAACCAAAACTACAGAGAGAAACCCTGTCTCAAAAAACAAAAAACAAACAAACAAACAAAAAAAGAGATAGTTTGGAGCAGCCAGTCTTTGTGTATGGTAGATCATAGGAAAGCACAGAACCAAAACTATGGAATTCAGTCTTATTCTTTGAAAATTAAGCATCCATGAGCATGAGTAGCAGCTAATATCCTAGGAGTTGGTGAGATCAGCAATGTATATGGCCAAAGATAGAAAATATTGACATTGAAGAACTAGACAGATTATAGGTATGGTTCTACATACCTATAATCCCACACTTGGGAGGTAAAACGGCAGGAGGATCAGGAGTTCAGGGTTGTCCTTAGCTACTTCATGAGTTCAAAGCCAACCTAAGCTCCTTAAGACCCTGTCTCAAAAAGGGCCTGAGTTGCAGAGAAAGAACAACTAATCAGAAAATTGACAGATCAAGTACTCATCAGATATTTACATCATGGATGCTTCATGAGGCAATACTTGCCATATTCAGATGAAATTGGTTAGTTGTGTTAAGATAGTAAGAAATGTGTTTAAGCCAGGCGGTGTGGTGCATACCTTTAATCCCAGCACATGGGAGGCAGAGATCTCTGTTGAGTTCGAGGTTAGCCTGGTCTACAGAGTGAGTTCCAGGACAGCCAGAACTGTTATACAGAGAAACCCTGACTCAAAAAAACAAAAAAGAAATG